AGGGTATTTTTCCTAAACGAAACCGCTTCGTTCGTACGCTTGTTCGTTGGCACAGCTACGCCACAGAAAAGCCACAGCCGTGGCCCGGCCCGCAGCCCCGGCGCAGCGCCGAGGACCCGACGTCCCGCGCAGCGCTGGGCGCACCCCTGCCCCGCGGCCGCCTCCCTGGCGCGAGCCGGGCTCTTCCTTACCCTAAGAGAAACCCCAAATGCTCATCGCAAACCCCAATAAAGACATCCCCGCCGGCTTCCTCGGGTGTCGTTGTTGGCGCGGGGCTCCCGACCGCACCGCGCTTCTCTAGACCCGGGTCTGGAGCTCTGGAACCGACCGGCCTCCTGAATCTGAGCGGATTCGGCGGCGGGAAAAGCGAGAGCACCGAGGTCGGCATCGCAGAAATCGCAGCCCCAGGCCCGGAATCCCTGGCTCCGAGGTTTTCCTATTTAGAGATTCCCTTAATTCAAAAAGATTTAAATCACTTTCCTAAGAAACTTGGGCTCGGTGTTCTCTTGGCACCCCAGTGGTCTGCCAGCCACCAGGGCCAGAGGAAAGCAACCCCCAGGCTGCTGTCCACTTGGTGGAGGGTAGGGTCTCCCAGTAATGGCAAACGCTACCCGCAGCAGCGTCGTCGGCACAGTGGGGACTTGCTGGTCTCCTGCCCTTGCTTCGGACTGCTTTGGGATCCTGATCGCTACTGGGAAAGGGAAAAGAAGTGGACTGGGACATGGCGACCAGGCTGCCTGGACTCTAGGACATAAAGGCAGCATTTGCTGACCTTCGAGCCAGGCTCAGAGTGCCCTCCTCTCGGCAAATTGGCTGCTGGGGAGAGGAGACTTGTGATACTGCAAAAGCCGACCCCAGTTGTGTGACCAGCCACTGCCACTTTCCTAGCCTTCTCTTCCGCTTGGCTCAGCCGTTCTTAGGAATCAGATAGCGAGCAATGCACTGGGGTGAGCAGGGGGATCCATGGGCTCTTACCAGCTGCTGCCAGAGAGTTCTGAGTTCCATGGTCCCATCAGCCACCCCACCTAGCCATCCTGCCTGAATACACCCAGCTCTCCCCACCAGGGCAGGCTGGGGAGCCCGACTGACAGGACGCTTCGGGCTGTGGTCGGTCCTCTGAAGCCTAAAGAATCCAGTGAGATTGTTCCCATTGCCTACCTGAGTACCTCTTTCCCCTCACCCAGTAATTACTTGCATTCAAAGAAATAAAAGCTTTTATTGGGGAGGGGGTCTTAGACCAGGCGGAAGGCAGTAGGTGGTCCTGGCTGCACTCCCCAAACTGGGTTTTCTAGTTTGAACTTCTCCGCGGCCTAAGAGGCTTAGGGCTGGAATGTCCCAGAGAGTCATGGATGGCCCTGGGGGCAAGCCATGGCACATTCCTTCCCTTTTCCTAAAATCTCTGGATTCTTATTTGAAGATTAGGGCAGGGTACCCCCATAAGTAGGTGGAAGGATGCCCTCCATGAGGACCCTCCAACCACCCTTCCCAAGTAAAATTACTAAACCATTGTTGGGTGCAGAGTCTGTTTCAGGTGAGCCCAGCCTCAGGCAGAGTCCTTAGAGAGACTACTTCAACCCCCACAGCAGCCCAGGCTGCTCTCTGCTCAGCCCAGCCAGGACTGTAAGCCCCCTGAAAATCACAGAAAGTCTCAAAACCATTGCTAGCTCTGTGTGGCCTGGAGGGAGGAAGAATAGGGCACATGGTTCCTACTCCACTAAGCCCCCTTCCTTTTCTCATGTCCCATTGTCAAGTGGGCTGAAGGCTGAAGGCTGAAGCAGCAGCAGGCGTTGCTGTGTCCCACATCAGACATGGGAACTGAGGTACAGTGCAGGTCAGACCTTGTCCAAGGCACACAGCAAAGCCGGGGACACTGGACCACTACACTTCCTCCTGAAAGAGAGCCGCCTGCTGTCCTGTGTCCGCCTGTGAGATACTGTGGGAGTGCAGGAAGCCCCTACCCTGCCTGGGATAGTGGCCAGCAGAGGGTGTGGCTGGAGAAAAAGAGAGAGAGCACCCAGGTCCCTTCTCCAGTCAACACCCAGGATCAGTCAGGGGCCCCTCCTTATTCAGCGCTGCCTGGGTCCAGCAGAATAGATTCTCCAGGACAGTCCCCAATAGTCTCAGCCCCTCTCTGGGGCTCAGAGCCCTGAAGATATGGAGCATCACCCACAATAGTCTGAGGGCCTTTCCATCCACAAAGCAGGCATTAATATTTCCAAATATAGGGAGTATTGTGACTGCCCAGAGCTCTGCCAGAGGCTTGGGTCCAGAGGGGCACAATAACTACAGGTGAACAATAGCTACATTAAATCCATCAGACTCAATAGCTGAAGCTGCAAAGTCACAACACAGTTCGTATCCATGGAAGGCCTGACTCTTCAGATCCTCTGGGGAGTGGGAGGGCTGTGACCCTCAGCCCTGGATAACTATTGGCAGGCCATCCATTCCATGTTCCCACCCAGACGGGCACTGTGCTTCACACCTTGGCCTGACACTGGGCATGCTTAGAACACACCTCCTTTCCCCTACCAGTCAGATTTTGTGCCAAACATCAGCAGCGTTCTGGGAGTCAGAGGCCTGGCTGTGTGTACACATATGTGACTGTACTCAGCACTCCTGTGTGTGGATGCAGCGAGTATGTGTGTCTGTGTGTACACAGCACACCTGTGTGGGCATGCAGTACGTATGTGTACATGCATGCTCCCATGCCCTGTCTGTACCCAGGCACACAGGGTGGCACGTTGTCCTGTCAGGGTAAAAGCAACTACAGGGTGGTAGGTGAAGGGGCACTCCTGGCATGCTACAGCATCTGGATACCTCCTTGAAAGGAGATTCAGCCAAGAATTGTGATAAAAGATGGGGCTGATGGCAAATGCTGAGCACCCATACCTCACCATGTCTCCCTCCTAGGCCGCCCCCCCCCCCACACACACACACCCCAAGACTGTTTTCATCCTGGGAGTCTCAACTTAGAGAAACATCCCTTTGGAAGAAAAGGGCGGGAATATCTGAGACTCCCCAACCCCACTCCTAGATGCATCTGGCTTCAGCCTCAGGCCCTGCCCCCTATGTTGAGGGGCACCCAGTGAGAGGGGGACAGGCCCTAAAGAACTGTGCCTTCTCCCCAGGGCCCAGAGCTGCGGGCCTTGGGGTGAGGCTGAGGGAGTGAGAGGCAGGCCTGGTTCCACACTACACCTGCCCCTGCAATCCTCACCACGGAGCTCAGCCTGGGGCAACTCTCTGATGGGGAGCCAGAGTGAGGGCTCAAGGCAGTGCCTGCAGAGCATCCCAGACACAGACAACCTCCATGTTCAGTCCCAAGCAGAGGAGGAGGCGAGGATGCACTAGGCCCTGGGGGAAGCATTGGGCCTGGAAAGCAGGGCAGTGTTTCTCCCCCAGGCCACTGTCCAGCCCAGCACTGCTCCTCAGCAGGTAAGGAGCAGAGGGCAGTCTGGGGTCCAGCTTCGTCCAGAAAAACAGGTCAGGGCCCCACCCTATCACCCCAGCTGTCACCTATTTACTCAAGACTCTGAGGTCTCCAGACCAGTTAACAATTGTTGAGCAAAATCCTTCAACAAACTTCACTGAGGTAGGAGGACTCCAGGAGGGGGTCGTTCCTAGGGGTGGGGAGGGGAATGTCCTTGCCTGTGTCCAGGAGAGAAGCTCCACTGCAGGCTTCCTGGGCTGCAGGCCCAGCGTTGGGAAACTGCCGTCACCTGGCCTGCCAGGCCTGTGCCTGCAGCTCTGGGAATCCCAAGGGGAGGCCCCAAGCTGCTACAAACCTGCCCTGAAGGGGGCACAGGCCCACCTATGGCTGCCAAGGCCCTCCCCGCCAAGTGCATTTGGTCCGATGGTTAAAGGTGCAAAACGGGGGGAGAGGGAGCCCTATAGAAGAGGCCGTGGGGCCCGGCGCGGTTCTCGGGGTCTCCTGCTGCACTCGCCAGCGGACTGGAGCCAACAGAAACGTTTCGTCTGATTAGGAGCCATCAGTTCTATCCCAATCCCGGAAAATTGACTGCGGTGCAGAGGCGGGGGCCTAAGAAGCAGCCTTGGGGGAGAGGGTCCAAGCTAATTAGGAGGCAGCATCCGGGGGCCCATTAGAGCACAGGCTGCTGTCACTCAGTCGGGCGCAGGTCCCGGGAGAAGAGGCCGAGGAAGGAGGGGCGTGCGGCCCCTCGACGAGGACGCTGCTGGGAGCTGACGGACCGGCCCTGGGCTCTGCCCCTGCCCTGGCTGGCTCGGAGGCGCCCGCTCGGTGCGCTCCTGCTCGGGGAACATTCACTCATCCTGAGCTGTTCTCGCCCAGGGGCTGGGGACCTCTGGGCCCAGACAGCGTTGGTTCTGAGCGAAACAAGTCATTTGGGGATCGAGGTGGGCAC